AGAATATTTGCATTGATGTACTACATATTTCTGCTTATTTATTATTGTTATTATTACTTTTTTTACGTTTCGTAATGCAGTCGTTCGCTATTGGTTAGATTGCTGAACGAAGTTTTCTTCCAGCTTAAATCTAATGTGAATGATTGCAACATCTAATTTTGCGATTCGTGTAAAGGGCAGTGTTTTATGGGAATATGACATGCAGCTCAAATGTTTTATTCACTGAAAAGTGTGTATGTGGCTGTATTATTGTGGAGGCTTTCCCATAGTTTTAAAGTGCAACGGAATCTGGTAATGGCATCTACAGCATTCGACTAGTAGAAGAATTAGAAAATCTTCTCTTTTAAAGAGGATTTGTTAATTTAAAAAATGACATTCTATGAAATTTATTCGCATCCTGTACGTCGCCATTATAAAGCGTATATTCTCTCTTTAAGCACATTCGTGCTAATCGTTGTTGCAGTTCTTACATTTCTTAGTCCGTTTCTTGTGGCTTATTTCACTGGGGAATTCTGGTGGAAAGAATTGAATTATAGTGAACAACCTCGAATAACATATACGAATAAGTATATTCTACTACTTCAAAGTAATAGCGGTGTTGGCAGTTTTTCGTCATCCTATACCGCGCTCAATACGGCATTTCAATCTGTTTTTTCAAATGGTTATGAAATATATTCAGTAGAAGACACCGACAATGATGGAATTATCGATCAGTGGAAAATTGTGCTTAGTGTTTCTCTAGCTGATTCCTCTACTTCAGTATCGAGTTTAAATGCGTGGATATTTTTTAATTATTCACTACATGGTCGACAATCAATTGCAATGGAAACATTAGCATTGGTTAGTCTTACTTCGCCATCAAGCACAAATACGAATAATGTAACTGTTTATGGACAATTGGTTTTTGAACAACGACAGCCAATACAAAGTAATGGTAATGATTTAACCTTGAATACACCAATTGTAACATTTAACAACGGAGTAGTACCAGCTTTTAATACAATACTCGAAAATTATTTTACCAGAAGCTACTATACAACATTTAAACAGCAATATACAAGTTGGTCTTTATCGTCGGAAACCGAGAGATTCACAGTAACTGTTGTCATCAACGTAGGACGACAATCTATTCGATTTACTCCTGGCTTTTGGCAGGAATTCAAATGGGGATGGATACAGTATCTCACCATTCTACTACCTTTTTTATTTGTGTTTAGCAGAATTAAAGAGTTTGTATTTACAAATCAATTAGTAAAAACAATATGCTCTGCCGATAACAGACATAAAGCTTGAGTTAGATTTTACAGTACCATTTTAGTGTCTCCGTCAGATATTTCGTGATATATTTTCACACGCTTTGTTGCAACAACTATTTTGTTTTTTGTATAGTTCTGAAAAAAATCGATTTATGTCCTAACAAAGTTTTATTTATTTATTTAATTACTAATCGCTAAACCGTTTATGCGTAAAGAAACTGAGTATATCATCACTGTGAAAAATAATTACGGTAGAAAGTGGAAAAAAGCAGAAAAATGCAGGATCCACAATATTCCGCATCGTGATGTTTATTCTGGGATATTTTAGCAGATTGTGAGCAAAATTTTAGTAGAAGTCTCATTATGTCTCACAATCGTGCAAAATACTGTGACAGTTTTATAATTATTCGCGAAATTGTGACATATTGTGAGACATAATGGGAATTCTGCTAAAAGCTTGCTCACAGTATGGTAGAATATCCCAGAATAAACATCACGATACGGAATATTGTAGATCCTGCATTTTTCTGCTTTTTGCCACTTTTTACCGTAATTATTTTTTACAGTGATTAGAAAAGAGAAAGCATGTTTTACAAATTTAAAAGATATTCTATATGGAAGACAGGATGATTAAACTACATAAGCCAACGGTATGTGAACACAATATTAGTACAGAAACCTAGATGTGAATCTTTTTCTACACTTTTTTGATACTTTTTCTGTTCGTTAAATATGTTTTTACTTAGTTTTTGATTCTAAACTCTTCCTTTTAAATTTATTAACAGAAATTATATTTCAAATACGTTTCGGAAGAATTTTCTTCCTTCCTCAGTTTGCAAAAATAATGAATTCATTGCAAACTGAAGAAGGAAGAAAATTCTTCCGAAACGTATTTGAAATATAATTTCTGTTAATAAATTTAAAAGGAAGAGTTTAGAATCAAAAACTAATTCAATGTCCTTCCAAACTATGACACATGTTTTTACTGTAACTTATGATCGGTTAGTGAAACAAATGCCATCTTTTCGGAGATGACAATGGTGAAAATACTTTTGAAAATTTTTATGTTGAATTGAAACAAAGGAGCACATGTAACAAAGAAAAAGTAAACAATCATTTTGTTTACCATCATTTAACTTGTAAACACGCAATTCCAATTTGAACGTGATAAATGAAAAAGAAACTAAAAGTTTTATAAGTCGAATAGAGTCGAGTTCTGGATGAACATGAGACAGCTCACATGGGTATCGGCATACATTAACATGCTTTCTGCAGCAAAAAGCTCCCTCAAAAGCTCTCTCAAAAGAACGTTTCGTTAAAACATGATAAAAATGCTCGTAAAACCTATATTCTTCTCGGAAACGGGCTTCCCACAGGTGTGGAAAGCCAGCGTGCGGTTGTTCTAGAACTTTTTAACATGATATTCGTCATCAGGAGTTCAATTTGCACTAATCCTGAAGATTTCAAAAGATTGTCATAAAGTCGACGCAAAGTCTGATACGCTTTCGAAAGACTTATTCATAGGATGAATGTGCTACTAGGGTCCTTCCGCGCCGGTCCGCCCACTATTACATTCACTATTAGCCGTGAAAATTTCACTTTGCTCGTCATGTAGAGCATCAAAAATAATCTAAAAGTCTCGCTTACGCTTTTTTGAAAAAACGTGTGAAAAGTGATTTTCTAGACACCTCAACCTTTTGGTGAGGGTGAAACCGAAATCGGTGAAAATGGACGAAACATTGCATAATTATACACCAAATTGTAGCTCTTGACGTGTTGATCCGAATGATGAAGGAATTCGGTCTCGATCTAACTTTACCTTCGGGTGGCACTCAATTTGCTTGAAAAATTCCTGAAGTTTGACCTCCATTTTCTCCTAAACGCTCCAAAAATTTTTCGAGATTTTTTCAGGTTAGGAACTACTTAGTAGGATCTATAACTATCCTCGACACTTTCCATTTTTCACCCTCAGATTTCCAGAAAACCCGTTAAAACCTTACTTCATGAAAAGAAAATTGAGCGATTATGACTCTATATTCCTGTTCAGCATACAGAATTCAGTGTACTTCAACGCTTTCTGAGGCTTCTTTGTGTTTACGTACCGCAGGTTTCTAAGGGGATTTCTGAAAAACTGAGGGTGAAAAATGGAAAGTGTCGAGGATAGTTATAGATCCTACTAAGTAGTTCCTAACCTGAAAAAATCTCGAAAAATTTAGTGGGCGAACCTTTGTGGAAGCACCACTAGGATTTGCTTGTATATCTTACAATTTTATATAATATCGGATAATTTGATTGTATTAGTTTTCTCTCCACCGGAGGGGAGAGTCTTACAGTGATAGATGGCGCTGCGTGACTGACGTACATACATATAGTCATGTAGCAGTGTGACGGACGTACATACACATAGTCATGTGGCAGTGTGACGGACGTACATACATTTAGTCATATGGCAAGTCAGCGAAGATCCATCGATATTACTACGATGGACATACATAGGCACTGATACTATTGTGTAGGACGAACATGCACGTATTTCATAACTCGTTGTGGATAGGTTACAAGCGAACGCTGCCCGAAGGGAAGTGTGAGCATTGTCTGTGATTCAAAGTCCCTAGCCATAGGTGGAGAGTCAGCGAGCCAGCGAGCGTTCCCTAGTCGAGACTCCCGGCAAAAATCCCACGGGGTCCTGCGGGATCCTGGAGGATCCTGTAGGAGTCAGGTGGGACTTTCATGGGATTTCTCAGGACTCCTGAAGACTCCCGTGGGACTTCTGTGGAGGTTTCGAGTTCTGCGGGAGTCCAACGAAAGTCCTCAGAATACTCAAAGTCCCACGGGAGTCTTCAGGAGTCCTGAGAAATCCCTTGAAAGTCCCACCTGACTCCTACAGGATCCTCCAGGATCCCGCAGGACCCCGTGACAGGAGTCCCGTGGGAGTTTTGCCGGGAGTCTC